TTTGCTTTGTTCATTATAAATGTTGCTCTGGCAGACTTTTGTTGACACTAACCTGCTTACTTTCGTCATCGCAACATGTGTTCGATCAGAGTCGATCATTTACCTCTTAGTAAAAACGATGTAATTGATACATGCTCTGTTCAAAGAAACTAAAGACTTTGTAACAAGACAATGTGAGTTTTTCAAAAAAGATTGTAGATTGTGGAATCGACATAAATGCTTCTTCTGACATTATAGACACAGGAACTGAAAACAGTAGTTTTCATTAGTTCACGGTTAGATCGATATTCTTGTTCTATTATTATAAAAGAGAGTTGAAAGAAAATACAAATGAAAAGTGAAGAAAAGAACACAGTAGAAAAAATCACTATATGATATGTATCAAGTACAAGATTAGTTAGAAGTTAATAACATTATTAAGTAATAAGTAATTCATACTTTTTTAAATAGCTCTTCATAGTTAAAAAGTATTGTATTAAAAGTTTTTTTCTAACGAAAGTCAATGTAGACGTTTCATTTGAATGGACTCCGTGGACCAGGTACACGACATTCACCTGTCCATGGATCTCGTACTTCACATGGAAGACGTTTTTTTCGTCGTCGAACACTGTCTATATCACGCACTTCGTTGTTCAAATGACGTTTAAATGAACTTCGTGGTCCCCGTGTTTTACATTCATAAGTGATTGGATCTCGTATTTCACAAGGCATACGCTTGACAAGTAACTTTCGAAGTAATGAAAGGTCAAGATTGTCGACGTTCTCATCAGCAGCATTTGTTGCACAAATTAGCAAACAAATTATTCCAATAGTAAAGAAAATTGTATAATAACGAGCCATGATACTTTAATTATGGTGTGATAGTGAAAAGGAATGAAGAACGCATGGCTTATATACGTTAATGATTACTGTCGAACTACGTCTGACTTTGTAATTTTCTCTCTGTATTGACGTCATGCGAAAAGAAAAACGAATCAATATACATGACTATACTCATGTTTTGAAGTAGGTTTCAATGATGTCATAAGATGACCGTACGTTGAGTCATAATAGTGTTCTTAATTATCACAATTGCGCAGTAGTATCAATCGTATATAGTTAGAAAGCTGTGAGTCTACATTTTCGTGGATCCAGCTCTGACATATCTAGACTTGAAACTGTCTATTTTTTCATCAGTATCTGACACTCTATTTACGAAACTAGGAGAAGGATCATGATTTCAGTTATTCATTGGCTATTCTGAAAAAATAATCAATGCAAACTTAAACTATAGCTGGAACACTGTGCCTGGGTATGTTAACATCGGCACTTATCTATTCAGACTCGAAAGTATACATATTTTGAGTGAAAATCAACTGAACCCTCGATCATCAATGATAGTTTCATCAAGAACTAGAGAAAGATGATCGTTGATCCATTTCGAACGTTTTTCAAATACGATCAATAGCAATGATTTCACTCTTGCATTAGAAATTGTTGTCCATAAAAACGAATATCATATATTTGTTGTTGTTGTTTGAAGAAACAATGAATCAATCTTTTTCAATATCGTGAAAACAACTTTTGGATTTTGTTATTCGAAACGCATAATATTTTCAACTAATAACGAAACATGGTGATTGAGAAAGTTCTCGGCACCTTTGAATACATGAATCATTGTGATCATTTCTTTCTCCTTTTTTGTCGGGAGCCGGCAAACAAAATTTTGTTTACATTTCTTTTTTCTGGCGTCATCGCGAGTAAAGAGAGGTGTTCACATTAATTACCATCCAAACGAAGGATGTGGTTGGTAGGAAAGAGAATATCCACATCTATACTTGATTGAGGACGTCAAGTGAAAATATTATGACTTTCACGTTAGTCTTGACATGAAAGAATTATTCTGAATCCATGATACGACTCTCGTTTGAACTCATCTCTGAATAAAATAAGCGAAGGGTCTATTCCCAGATTGATGACTTTTGATATTGCCTATAGTTGGAGGAAGACACAAACAATCGGAAGACTGTTAGTATGACGTGGAACTCGCTAAGTTGGATATTTAAGTATTTCTATACATCCGAAATTCAGACACAAAAATGGAAAGAAAGATTTTAGTGTAATGAACCTTTTAGGATGTGTACTGCGATTCAACTGAAGTCTACCTGGCTTTATTTTGCTGACATATTGAAAATACTATTATTTGGACAAATGTGATTTTCTCACCTTTGGACAAGTCAAATCACGGTGGTTTTTGCTAAAAAGAAGAAGAAATAACGATTCATTTCTTTGCAATTTCAGAGGAAATTCTTTTTTCTTCTTCATTTTCATTTAAAAATATTTGATAAATCAGAAAAAAATCATTCCAAGAAAATGCTTTCTTGCTTTTATCTACTGAGAAATAGTCATGATTACTGTCCGATTGTCGGATATGGCGAAATACTAAGACAAAATATGTTCAATCTAATAAGATTCCAAACAGTAAGATGCTTTCTTTTTTTATACTTTATTATGACTGTCAGAAAGTATTAAAATTCAATAAATAATTTCTAATTGTGTTAGATCAGCTCAATCAGTCTCATTCACTAGCCTTTCATTAACAATTGGTAAATTTTTCTTGGGTCTATCAGCAAAAGTACAGTGAAGTTTTGTTACTGAATGTAGCGCCGGAAGGTACATTCAAGAAAGTGCAGTAGACTTTCTTCAACAGACAAAAGCTCAGAAGGCAAATTCAAAAAAGTAACAGAATAAGTTATTTTTACTTAAACATTATGAAAAAATTGGGGTTTTTGTAATACAAGAGTCTACACATTAGAATACGTTATTCTGTTTTAGTTTAATGATGTTCTGTACATCTCTTAGAGATCGTATCAGTACAGAAGATGCAATTTTTATTATGATTTTGGGGGATGCATATATACATGCATTTATGTATACATAGTGAGATATTGTTTTAACATCCTTCGGGTTTTGTTGGCAGTTTTAAATAGAACTAGTTTAAATGTTTATTTAATAAATGTAACATACTATTGTAGGGAATAGAGAGTGTTATTGTTTCTTTATATATTGTACAGTAACTTTTTTGAGGAACAGCAATACATGAAAAGTCTCTCATCTAAGCTCAAGCGATGGAAAATTGTTCACTGTACAAAATTGTCTAATTTGTATTTTCAAACAAACATTTCTTGTCTACGTAAAATTAAGAAGATATGAACAACTGCTAGGTCGTCCAACCACAATTTCGTATTTTTTTCCTATGAGTTTCCTGATTCGACTTCGAATATAACTGAAACTTCAACTGCATAATATCAATTCGAGAATAAATCAGTAATAAACCAAGCCAGCACCTGATTACAGCAAAAAGCCAAACGATAAAGTTCTCCTTGAATTGGGTGTGAGTGAGTGTGTGGACAAAAAGAAGATTTATCGGTACATGAACTCCCACACTCACACATCCTGTTTTTATTGAATTTCTGATGTCTTTCTCCCTATGATTTAATAGGAAAAGGAAGGTCTGCAAAATATCTACAAAGCAGAATTTCGATTTTTATAGGCTTGTCCATACTAGACAGAAAGTCGAATATAATCTTAAAGATGATTGTACGCTTGAGAATAAGAATGTATGACTTATGAGAGAAACCAAACTTCGCATAGGCACATTAATATTGTATATTTTTAACATGATAGAAATTCTAAAAAATAAATTTTCAACAAACAACAGAATTTAAACAAAATTTTATTGCGAACAACAAAACAAACTTTTCATAGGCATACAACTATTGTATGCTCTTAGGGCGAGAAAATTTGAATGATGAATTTGAAAAGAAAGAACAGAATTCAAACAGCAGCCGATTACTAGCCAAGCAGGGATGGGTGAGTCCGAGTCATGACTCGGACTCGAAAATTTGGAAACACTGACTCGACTGTTTGACTCGAGTCATTCAAGTCAATAATTTAAAAAAGTTTGGTTTACCGGCATAAAAAATTACTATATGTAAGATTAGTTTCTTAATCAATCACAACTTGCTTGCTAATTGGATCTAATCCATCCCAAAGGGATTCGTCAAGAATTTTTTCGACCTTCATTTTCATATGTTACGAGTGACGGACTAAGCGTTAGAAGTAGCACTTTAACTTTATTTAAAGTTAAAGTTAAGGTAACATGCTTGAACTTCAAACTTTTAAGTTCAAGTTAAAGTGGATTTTTTCACAAAAATATTTTGTTTTGTAAAAAGAAATCATTTTTTTTTGTAAAAAACGAAATTCGTGTGAAAAAAATGATTTTTTGCGAAAAAATGTTTTTATTTACAAAAGAATATTTTTTTTAGTGAAAGAAATATTTCTTTTTCAAAAAAAAATTTTTGTGAAAAATATTACTTTAACCTTAATTTTTTAAAGTGAAAATTTCAAGAATTCTTGCTCTATATATCTATAGTTTTATGTTTTCATTTTGTATGTGACTTTTCTTATTTCGGTTTTTGTTCCGAAGAAATTGGAACGGGATATAATGAAAAAAAAATTGTTGTGGATCTTCCGAGTAAAAATAAACAGATACGAACAATAACCCAAAAAACTCTGACTCGAAACAAGACTTGAATCGCCCATCTTTGTTTCATCATGAAAAAAGTTGTAGCAGAGACATAATTAAGCTTTCCATGAAGAAACATAAGACAGGAGATACTAATTTTGGCTATTCTAAGTGGTTGGATGATTTTTTGACCATTACAAAAACTTGGACTTCGATAGCCGCTATGAATGTTGGCGCATTGATGATGTCACTAAAAGGATTTTACGTAGTTTTAAACTGATACGGGTAAAACATCAGCCTGCTATCACTAAAAAGTGCTGGCTATGAAATATTAATATACAAAATCAATGAAGCTTTTCAATTAAGGAATTATATTTTTCAAAACAAAGAAAATTAAAGTAAAGAGATACAATGTATGTTGACAAGTTATTGAATCATTGAATATCTCACATGATTGATCCGTACTATGTTGAACCTCTTTTTTATTGCATGGCTAAGCTGTAAGATCTTTATATTTCGGGATGGTGAGTAAAACTTTATTTGTGAATTGGCCTTCTCGATCATAGAGAATAAAACGTTGAGCTTTGTTGTAGAACTCTTGCCATTGAGTAACTGCTTGAGGTGTCCATACAAGATTAAGAAGCCATTCCTGCAGTTTGATGTTGCCTATTGGTCTATTCAAATGAGAAAAAGAACTAGAATTCGAAAGTTTATAAAGAAAAACTGACGTGGATGTATTCATGATAGTTTGCCATGCTGTCTCGTCAATGGCTGACATGCATGCTGATAGACTATCAACGAGTGGGTAATAAGAGAATGTGTGAGAACACATTTCGTCCGTTGTTCGCTTTCCACCCTATATATGCACAAAATATAAATTTTAAATCTGAGCAATTTTATTTTATCATTTTACCAATGTGATCACATTCTTGTTCTTTGTACTATATATACAACGAGTCACAAATGCGTCTCCCTAAATTTTAATCAAATTTTACACATGTCAGCTGCCTGATTTCTTACTGGATAGATTTTGATTGGCTTGGGTAGCCGATTTGCGAATTGATAATTGAAATCGAATGCTTCTGCATTGAATAGATATTGAACAGCTGTGTTGTTACGAATCAATTTGGTCCATACGCTGGAACCTATATAGAAACCCATGAATTTTTAGTCTTTTCATTATCTTACAAGTCATGTACCTTGTAAGTGAGTATGTGGCAAGGCGGATACGATGTTGATACCAGAAACAGGAAAATTCTATTTCACAAAGAAGAATGCGAATATAATCTCAAGTCTTATATGAATGAAACAATGTGCTTACGCGAGTGGCTTCAGGAGGGCAATAAGAGTCGACAATGAACTGTTCCGTTTTCGGTGGAATAGCAAGAGCTGCTGGACTAGACAGGGTTCCAAATAAGACGTAACCAATATCATATTGTCGAAGTTCATCACCAAGATAAAATCGAATCCCTGAACTGTCTCGAAGATCTAGAGAACAATAAAAGAATCAATCTTACTCCAAACTGTGCAACACAAACGCTCATTTATTCTACTTGAAGTTAGTCGTGGATTGTCATAGTGCATTTTAATCATAAAATACTTAGTACCGACACCAGTAGTGATAGGATAACCAGCTTCTTCCGGATATACTGTAGTCTATTTGAATTTCAAGCCATTCTATTAGTCATTTTTTGATTGTCGTTTTCCACTTACCACATCAGCACCGATTGACCAAGCAGTAGCTAAACGTGACGAACAGATTCTCGTTTCAGTGAGAATATCATCACATATGCCATCTGGTAGATGGTCATCATTGAGTACATCCTTCGAAGTACATTCGAATAGGTCTAGATGATGCACAAGATTCACATTTCTCGGATCAATTAATACTTTATGCTGTCAAGAATGAGAAAATACCAAAATAAGTGTAAAATAATCATGAAATAAATAGAATGTACGGCTATCGCGTGTCTTTTCGTAGAAAATCTATTTGGGCTCATGAATACTTTGCAATAGTACGTTGTATCAGCTGATGGTACCAAATGCTAAAGAAAGAGATGAAGAATAAGAAAAAAAAGATACTATTATATAGTCAAGCACATTGTCGAAACGGAAATCGAAGAAATCTCGTCCAGAAAACATATCATCCGCTGGTGATTCAGAATACGATCGAAGTGGTAACATACGTGTACCTCTCCGATCATTATGATACGTGATATCAACGTTTGATTGACACAAATCAAGATCGACAAGACCATAGGCAAATATTAGAATATTCGTGCCAGACTAGTTGTGACAAAATATAATATGTCCATTAGTTTAACAGTAGAATCAACAGTCATACTTTTATAGGAACATCCATTGGGTCACAAGAATCAAAGTAACGTTTGAATTGAATGGCTGTCCATCCATTTTGTTCTTGTCCTTGAAGAACAAACCAATCTTGAGTTGTGTTGTCTATGATTGGTTTTGATTTGTCGAATGCAAATCGATCCTGATAAAAGACCCGATCGATGAATGTTTTTATACGTTAGAAATCAGAAAAAATATCTGTCATACTTGAATATGAACTTTACCAGAAGAGTCAACCCATCCGACTGCGATATCAGCACCTTTCATGCCTCCAGCTAAATGTCAATTACAAACATCAAAATCAGAGAAACAGTCAACTGTAGAATTTCCTACCTGGACTAATCCCCAAAGCAATCCATCCGACAGTCTTCATATGCAATTCAAATGTAATCTCTTGTTCGACATCATTCACTGTCCACCATAGGTAAGCCGTTTTTTCCTGAAGTTCTACCGAATGTTTGTAGGTCGTAAAAGGTCGAAGAGGACTCGACAGTCCGTTACATATCACGATCACAATCAACAATATGTACAGCCGCAACGTAACTGGAAATTCCATGAACTGCTCCTGAAATTACGACAGAAGCTATTCCTAATCGAGACACTACTGAATAACAGTGCTATCAAACGTTTATAAAAGCACTTCTTTCCTTGGTAACAATCTCAGTATAGTCTTTTCTCTTTTTCTTGACATTTTACTACAATCTCATAAGCCAATCGCAAACATATTCAGAATCGGGCGATCGTAACATTTGCTTAAATACCCTGCATATGGAATACTTTGTAATTAATGTTTTTATTGTCGAATTTGTTCCTCACAAAAATTATGCTTCCAGATAATGTTATTTGATAATCAACTATCATTAATAATAAAACGTAATTCTTTGACCCGATGGGTTTTGCTAAACTCAATGTTGAAAGTAGGAGATATAGGGTAGAAGATATAATCATCGGATCTTTTTCTACTTAGCGGTACTGTATCAATTATTTTGTTTTCTCATCCTATAATAGTTTATTATCTACTCTCAAGACCCAATAGCATTTGTCCGCCCATGCAGATCCATCCAGGATCTTAAGTATCTCTGATATTCATATAGATGAATGCTTCTCGATACTCGAAATTCACAGGGAAGCTGTTCACCAATTTCGATTCTTCTATTACAATGCTAGGAAATGCAACAAACCTGCACCTATACTTGCTTCATCAATACATAAGTGAAGCCACCACCAGATTCTAGCATATCCACCCCGAATTATCATAGGAACTTGTTCTAAGTACAAGTTGACGATCTCTATCCAACGATATGCTCTGATTTTCCATACCATCTCTTTTTCTCTAATAATAATTTACAAATTTTGTGCAATGCTATCTATGATCCCAAAATTCATAGTTTGGAATATCGAATATCCCAACACGCAATTGGATAAAGAATCTGGTGATGATTTTATTTACGTTGTATCAATAAGCATCATGTTTGAAGAAAAAATATAGCAATAGAAAGATTAAACTTAAGCTTTATGCGAAATGTCATAGCATATTTTACGATCGTCTGATTGTGAATATGTTTGCGAACGGCTTATGAAACGGTCATACCATGTTAAAAAGAAGAAAAAAGCTTACATTAAGATTTTTATCAAGGAACGAAGTGATTTAAATTAACTTTGATAGAACTGTTTTGGGTAGTGTCTCCATGAAGTATACCTATGAAAAAGACTGCAAAAATCCGCGGGTGTGGGTATGGATATTTCATTTAACTAATACTACATCCAGACCATTACTCACACCCACACTCACACTCCATATCATGTTTCTAATAGCGAGACACGTAAGAGATCAGCACGAGCAACTTAGACGTTTCGATAGTTTCGTTCAGGATGTCCCTCTGACTATAGCTGTGTGAAGTGAATGTTATATGATATTGCCTTTGGCTCACATCTATATCCATACTGAGCCTGTAGATTGTCTAATGCCATCTTAAATGGTTGACAAAGAGTCTAACTTTTGTACGCTGGCATTAATGCATAAGTATACGCACACCGATTATCTCAATTCGGATGTACGCAGAGGTTGTGGTATGTGCAGTTTACTGTATAAGTGCGCATTTACAATTAAATAATAACATCAAAACACTCAACAGTTCATCAACGAAATGAATAACTAGCATGTATTGATAAATTGATCAGCTTTTAACGTAACTTCGATCATGACAATCAAATTTATATTTGACTCAACGCTGATCAATATTTGGATTATGGTAGCACTATGCATATGATCGTCATAATATTTGATGTTCCTAGTCAAATCATTGTGACGAATTACTCACGACGATCATGCAATGATAAGCAAAATATTCAGAATTATTCGAGTGAGATGTTGGCATTGGTTTGAGCTCTTTTCACCCGCCACTGTTTGAGTCTTTTGCGTCGAATGATTCATTTGTTATTTTCGCATTATAGGAGCATTTTAAATTTCTTATCTTTCATTTTCACGCTGCATTTTTTTTCTTTTTCTTAAAGCTTTGCTAACTACACATGTAAAAAAAAGTATGTATATGTGAACCATTTTAGGTACTTTTCATACTTTTTGACTAAAAAGCAAGGCCGTAGGGAAGGGGGTGGCTGAGGGGGGCTTTAGACCCCCTCAGCTTTTACATAGACACCTCTAAAGTTGACCCTCAAAGTAAAAGTTACTAATGTCCGTTTCAAAATATAATGCGTCCCACTGTTTTTTGAATAACTCAAGAACGCAATCAGCTAGAGATCTGCGGTTTTCACCAATCGAAAGAAGAGACAGTGGGACGTCTTTTTCTCCAATAATATATTCGACAAAATCATTTTAGAATCAGTCATTTCTGCAAAACATTGCAAAAAATGCATGAAAACGACTCGGCATTCTGAAGAAATTTTCCTTTTGACATGTGATCTAGATAGAGGGACTTCGGATCTATACTTCAGGATATAATTCGAATGATTATCTTACCGCATCCTAACGTTTAGCAAATAAAATCGTCTATTTACTCGCAAGAAAACTATGAATTTCTTTTAATTTTGAAGCAAATTTTTTTACTTTTTCTCAAAATTTCATCTGAATGACAGACCATTTTTTCGATGTTATGCAGAAATGACTGGTTTCAAAATGATTCCGTCTGATACGATATTGGAGAAAAAGACGCCCCCTGTCCCTTCTTTTGATTGGTGAAAACCGCAGGTCTCTAGCTGATTGCATTCTTGAGTTATTCAAAAAACAGTGGGGCGCATTATATTTTGAAACGGACATTAATAATTTTCATATATATGAGAAGAGACAAATTCATTAATCTAATTATCTCTTCATGATTATCATTCTAATGATCATTTGATGTTTTCATTGTGTATAATCATCATTATCATCTTAAATATATTGTAGATAGAATTTTTCATTACTTCTCTGGACATTTTTCTTTGTTCATCAGTTAAAATGGCAAATGAGTTTTGAAAAATCAAAAATTGAGATTATCTTATTAAACATTGTTAGATTGATTCAAGCAAGATTGTGTATTTTTGACTATTGACAAATATAATTAAACAATTATCTTTTATGAATTATTTAAGATTTTATTTATGCTAGAATAATTCATTTTGATTATTTTACATGTTAATCGAAGTCAATAAATATAAAATTATATCTATCATCAAATGAAAACACATATCTTTCATGAGAATGAATAAAGTCTTGCTTTAAGAAAGAAAATTATTTAAAAATATATTCATCTGCTCTATTAACTTTAATATTATCATATTTTTCTTGTTTAATGTATCTTAAAATTTGATTTCTTTTCATTCTCTTACAATAACTATGATTGAGATATTGTTAGAGAAGTAATTGAAGATAATTTCTGACTTTTATGTTCACTTGAAATCAGGAGAATGAATATTCTTTTAAATCCAAAATCTAAACTGATATTTTATAGATATTTAATCTTCACTCTAGTTTTAATCTTTATTACAAAATACGTACAACTTCAATTAGGAAATTTTTAAAATCTTTTTCAAAAAAAAAGTTTTTGAAATGATAGATGAAAGAATTTAAAGTTAATAATTTATAATAACAAATGAACGAAGAGAAAAATGAAATAAAAGATTATTTGTCTGTTTTTCATTTTTTCCTCACTTTTCTTCGATTCAAGAAAACTATTCAAAATTTTCTCATATTAAAGTCTAAAAATGATCTTGAATACTCATTGTTTGACTCCTTTAGACGAAAAAACGTCACTTTTTCGATGATCCCTCCTGAATTTTCTTTGGATCGGTGTGATTTACGAGAAAATTTGCTTAAAATGGTAGAAAATTCTTTAATTTTGCTTTGAACAATTTTTTTTGCTTCCAGTCCTAGAACTGGTCCCGCACATCTCTAATCTACGCTTCTCTTCCACATAATCACTGAGAATTAGATTAGAAAATATAAGTAAGATCAATAAGACTGGACTAGATGAACTGGAGTGATTTTCACCTAATCTATGGATTATTTTATTATAGATTATCATATTATTGTTACTATATAAAAGATTAATATATTTAACTTTTATTGATAACAATCTCATCTTCATTGTTATGATGAACTCTAACAATGTTTTATCAAAATCATCATCTGCATCTGAAAGACGAAAAAAGTGATGAATTCATTTTCTATCTAATATTCTTCAGTCTGTGCTCTACTTTAATGGTTATAATTTGTAGTTTTACAATATATGATATGATTCAACACAGTGTAAGTATGTAAATTTTCATGAATAATTCAACTTACTTGTGTGTTATTCATAGAAAACAATTGATCATTCAAAACAAATACATGTTTATAATACTGTCGTTCTTATATCATGTACACTTGTTTTCTCAGTTTTCTTTACTGTCGAAAGCATTTATTCTTGAGTGAGTAGTGAAGTAGTAGAGAATCAAACGAAATGTTTTTCTTCATAAAAGTTGATTCGTTGTCTTGTGTCTTTTTATATGTACGAACCAAACCCAAGATATGCACACAGAAAAGGCTTAGTCTATGACTTGATTAGTACTAGACAATTTCAATTGTATCACTTTTATCCTTTATCATAATTCTTTTGTTGTTGTACAGGTTATTTGTGTCAATCAAAAACAGATGAGAAAGATTAATTTATTCTATTTATCTTCAATATGTTTATGTGTTAGACTTTCAATCAGATATTCATTATAATATCTCACAAAGAACGATGTCATTTACATCAGATGGCAAGATTAATTTAAATAGAAGAAAATCGATTATATATTTTTTCCATGATTTGTTTTTCTTTACATTGTAGAGATTTTGCTCAATTTCAATCTATAACAAGATATTTTCAGAAACATCGAAGTGTCATATCCGCACTTAACATTGTATTACTCTGCTTTGATCCAACCAGAAACTTAGATATTTAATATTAGTCACATTCATACTAATTAGGCTCATGCCAAAAGTTTTAAACATACATGAGCTAAATTTGTAAATGGAAAAGTAACCAGTAAAAGTCAAGTAGAATTCTAAATTATTCTAATCTAATTGCCGCTATAAATTAGTAAAATAATTATGAGAAATATCTTTAAAATTTCCAACGTCTGTTAGAAGTGAATATATAAGTGAAGTCTATTCATAAATGCTGAGAAACAGAAATATTTTCACCAAATATCTACTTTTTTATGATTAGACGAAGAGAACTTTGATTTATGTGGATTGAAAATAATGCTTTTTTACAACTTTTTAGTCTGATCTATTTACAAATCACCAATTGGTTTTGAATGAGAACACTACATCTGATTCTATTGTCAAAAATCGAAGAAAATACTCTACTTGGCTCATTATTAAAGCTTATATTTATAAAATCATCAGATGTATTCATTTATACTCAAATGTGAATTTAAACAAGAACCATATACTATTGTTAATAGTGCTTAACTTGATCTATTTTCTTTTGTATGTGTACTTATATTTTCTTCGTTTTGGTCTTTGTATGCCTATTCTGTTATTCTATTATATCAAATTATTATACTTATTTGTGAGAGTAGCTTCATCTAATATATATATACGTCGTGTCGAAGTTATTTTAGAGCAACTGAATACCAAATAATTATCAATTAATCTAGAATATTAAAGCTAAAACAGATACCTATAGTTGTTTGTTTCAATTTAAAAGATACATGTCTTTTTTGTAAACAATGTACTTGATTATAGATCTATCCTATCAATCCTAAGTTTGTGGTTAATAAAACAGATCTCTGGAATGTTGAATGCTGATATAAATAACACTTTGACTTTATATTAATAAGAAAAAATGACTGGCACGGGAACAAGTTCAATGCTTACCAAATTCGAACTCACATTGAGTCCAGCAAAGACTTCACCCAACATGTAAGATGACATTTTCAAGTTCAATCATAGGATATGAATCATTACTCGTACGAGAGAAAAATTCCAGTAAGATTCTGTTAACTACATGAAATTTATCAGTATATGAATATCTTCAAATTTTCTGTCTTTTTTGTTGAAGCATTTCATGATTAGGATAATAAAAGTATAGAAAGAAAAAATATTTGTAAAAGCAGACAAGTCACTGTTGAGTCATTCTTTTAGTTATCGACACGATCGATACCAATAAGTATACGTTGAATAAACATGTTCCATGATGAATCGCTCAATTCTAATTGTTTGCAATATATGCCATTACGTTGATTTGTTTGTTGATAGAATTCAATCGCTTTGTTTATTTGTTCGTTCATATTAGCAGGTAAATGATTGCAAAGATGAACCTTCGAGATATAAAGAGGCTAATCTAGATAATGAGAAGATCGAAAAAAATTCAGCTCACTTTGATTTGTTCGATGTTAAATAAAAATTGAAATGTATTCTGTTGTGATGCTTGTGTTTGAAGAACAAGCCAGATAAGAATAACACCCGTGCCGATCAAATAAAGAATTTCATTGCGTATGTTCAACGCTAACAAAACAAAAATCTCATACTTTTATACTCTAAAAATAAACCATTCAATGTTACCCAATGAGTTAAAACCTTGTTCACGTAAGTAGTTTTCAAGATCATTGAATGTATCAACATCAATGTGAAATACATCAGCTAGGTCTTTATTCAATGTAAATGAACCATCCTATATTCGAATTATATAGAAAAAAAAAGAAAATAAATATCAAATGAAATTTCAAAATAATACAACTTTGAATTGATGTTTGAAAAGCTCTTCAATCATGGTTGTAGTAGATCGAACATCTTTCAATTTACTAAGAAGTGAAGCACTAGTCGTTTGTCCTAAATCCAAATACTATTGTTGTAAATAATAATAATGAATAAATTACCGGATGAAGTAATCGGTTCACTGGAAAAATTGTGTATTACAGATTCAGTTTGACCACCGAGCTAACCAAAGATCAGAAAAGTAAACAATCGAACTCTGAAAATATGTCATAATACAAACCATGTACAATTGATCATTTGGTTTGCAATCATAAACTACAAAATAACAATAATTAAATATCATTTACACTTTCAAACAGTCACTTGATTTAGCTGCAAAACTTGGGTCACTATTAACATATGTAATATGTCGCTCAATATCATCTCTGGTCAATCCTACATAAACATAAATAGGATTTAATTACGACCTGAAACAGTTATATAATTATTGTACTTTGTTGATCATCGGATGTGACAGTAAAGAAAGCTTTGGCACCTGAACGTGCTTCTTCAGCATCGACACGAACTATACCATTAGGATCAATATCCATCCGAACAGAAATTACGAGTGTCTGAGCAGCATAATTGTTTGTCAGACCAGAAAGACTAAACTCGCCCAAAAGTATCTACAATAGAAAAAGCTATCAAAACAAAAATGTTGAATTTCGAACACTACACACATTGTATTTTGTAAGATTATGTTCGCCTTCAAATATACGAATGGTAGCAGTTGTTTGATAGGCATAAGCATTTGTGAACACTGGATAGAATTGTGTACGTGTTGGAATTGTTGTATTACGACGAATAAGTGTGTGCATTTGACCGTGAATATCTTCAACGCCAAGACTAAGCGGACAGACATCGAGAAGGAGGAGATCACATATAGATGTATCGGATGTTGGCACTTCTTTCGTTCTTGGTTGAATACTAAATTTAGATGATTAATAATTAATCGTAGTGCACTAATGTGCTAGATATTAAAACTTACGTTGTGTCGAGTTTTGTTCTTTTGTCAACTATAGAGCTCCGCATTATCTCACTAGGTAACTTCTTTACCTTTTCATCCGCACTGTCTATCTTCTAGAAGTGAAGGAAATTTCCGAAAAACAAAAAGCATGATAATGTACGTACTTTGAGGCATTCAAGCGATGATTTCATTAAAACAGCCTTTTTCTCATAAATTTTCTTACGCCGTTCATCTGTATCTGTAGAAAGAAAACTAGAATAAATGAGTGAGTTATTTCAAGTAGCTTACCTTGTTTATCATCACGTGGCGAAGCTTCTGAAACTGTACATATATTCACGTTTCATTAATCGAGATAAACAAGAAGTTCATATGAGTGTAACTTACTAGTGCTTTTCCTTGAGTGTGTTGCTGTTGTTGGAGGTCCCATACAGCAGCCACCACTACGAGGTTCATCTGATCCCGCTTTCATTTTCAATGATACTGTTGAATATGACTTTTTGGGTGGTACTATAGGACAAAAAGAAGAAGCACTCAAACTCCAAGTATCAGCTAAGAGTCCGTCCTCCTGTTTGAGTCGATCTGCTGATTCGCTGCCTAAAACGAACATCAAATTAGAAAGTAATATGTCTAACGTACATAATTGACAATGCATTAATGATAATATCGCGCTAGTATCGCCAAAAGTTGGCATCCCTGCTGATTCTTCTCATGTGAAAACGTAAAGGACGTTGGTAGAAAATCATTCGTGTTATAGATTTTATGTTTGGGTAGTACTGACTGGCCAAATGGCAAACTTGCTGCAGATTAGCCTCGAATCAACTAATGATTGGACTAAAGTTACACATGCACATGCGTTCATATCTGAAGTTTCAAAGAAATAAAAAACAAACAAAATCTCATAAATAATTAATGGAACATGCACTATGTACGTATTTTGTATTTTAGAATGAAACATTTGACTGCGATGTTCGGTTCACGACATAGGTGACTAGCGAATGAAACTATGGTACTTAATGTTACTCCGAGATCCTCAGGGAAAACAAACATGTTTGTAACGCTATTTTCCTTTGGTACGTGTAACTGTATTTTGCTTTCGAACAAGACAATAAATAAAAGTAAAATTACGAGAAAATTTAATCTAAAAAACGGAAAATTTCAGTCTTACTTTGGCTTGAGATGATACCATCAACAGAAGCCTGGTTGAAATGATCAAGTAAAAATGATGATGCTGTTGCTGTTGTTGTTGGTAGTGGAGGTGGTGGTGGAGGAGGAGGACGAGGAGGGGGTAGTGGAGGAGCAGCAGCAGCAGTAGTTTCCAAACCTAAATGAATCCACACCGTATTCATTAGAAATCTAATGACATCAAACACAAAAATGGATATAAATCTATTTGCGACTTACGTGGAGCAGGCAATGAAGCAGCATCAAATAAGCTACCTATATTGCTGACGTCGTCATCAAAACTAAAGTCTAAAAGAAAGCGAGAGTTACATGCTATAGTTTACATTATCTGACCAGCTAAAGACATTGGTGATAAATTACCCTTAAGCGCTGGTATTCTGTGTATCGTTGTTGAAAATGATGCGTTATTATTGTTATTGTTGATCATCGGTGCCACATAATAAGGCGTGAACACTATTAATTCATTACTCAATGAATGCAATGTCATTACATGTGAAGACATCTTACATGGAGTTGATGGTGGTAGAAAAAAATCTTGTGGAAGGGATTGATTGACAGCAGGCGGTGGCATCTCAAAAAATGCCATCGATGCTGTTGGTGTATCTATTGGTGGTGGTGGTAAAGGCCCTGGCATCATACCTCTACTGCTCACTGTAGCTGAACGGTGTGTAAATTGTGGCCGTGGTGGTAGCGGCGGCGGCGGTGGCGGCGGCGGTGGACGCAGTGATTGAGGCTCAGGTGGCCTCTGAGACGAAAATGAAGCAGCTACGAAAAATAGAAAGCGAGACTCAATTTAGAATGGAATAAATAGATCCTAATAAAGCTCATTCAGATATATTGACACAGACAAAATGAAAAAGCAGGATTCCCATTCACAAAACTACTTTTAGATTTTTCATACATTATTACGAAACGATTGAAAACATTTATCAAGCATCCAGGAAATTCATATTTTGTGTTTGTAAGGTAAGCTTATTACACCCTAAAATTTAACATTTTCTTCCTGTAGTCCATGTGAGCAAAAACACTTACGACTTGAAATAAATGTCTGTCGTGTTAATTGTTCATAATATATTCATGTAAAACAAAATACTCGAATTATTATCTTATTTGTCGATACAAGTCTCACACAGTTGCTGATTTTCTCATTTTTTTTTCTCAAAGTATTGAAAATCTATTTTTTGAGTTATTCAAAAATTAGATAGTTCTCTTTTTTCTTTGAAATGAAACATGGCATCGATGGCTTTCGATTAAAAAGTATTGAATAATACAGAAAATGGTTTCTGTACATCAGCAAAATCAACACTTGATCTTCTGTTCGCTTTTGTACGATAAGTTCAAAATGCTATCTCTTTAATCAACATAAGAGCTATGCAGTGAGTGAGGGCATGTTTTATCGAAAGTAACACTCTGACAGTTAAGGTTATATTCCAAAGAAAAATATTATTCCTGTTCGTGGCTTTATATCATTAAAGTAGAAATATCAAAAAATAAAAATAAATGTAAGGCAATTATGAACTGTAGATCATCTAATAACAATCTGTTATTTTCACAACGTTCGAATATAGATCGATTTTAGTTGACGTTAAAAACGAACATAAACATCAGTATGCGAAAATTCAGGTCTCACCTTGAGGTATGGGATGGCTGATGCTAGCAGAGGGAAGAATCGACACTTCAGATTTAGGCAATTGTACTGATGTTGAAGTTGACTGTCGTTTACTAATTAGCGGTCTAATAGAAAACACTAATGTCTACATTATATATACTATGGAAAATTCATACGCTCGCTTCATTGCAGCAGATTTTGATAGCTGTTGAGCCAGTCCCGCTGATGGCAATAGTGATGATGCAGGCACAGATTCTATAAAAAATATTATGAAATGAATCTGATGCCATTAGCGATATTACCTGTACTCTCACTCTCTTTCGTTTCCAATTTTTGATCAGCAGTAGATATTGGAAGTTGTTTAGCTTCAGATTTCAAAAGTAAATCAACTAAACTCGATTATACAAAGCATTTGTTTTCATTACTTGAAATGGTCTTTACAGTAGTAAAAGCATGACTCGCTAAAGAAGACTCACGAGTGTCGGTAAATCGGAGAGAAGCCAAATCGTCACCCCCAACGCTGTTGTCATTAAATAACTCTGTTTCTTCATATTCCACTAATGACTGTTGTTTTTCATCACTTTTTATCGATTGTAATTTTGATAGATTTTCTTGTGCTAAAAATGAATCCTCAATCATAGCTACGCAACAGTATAAAAATAACTACTCTTCTTTGCTGAATTCAACTGCTATAATTAGTGAAGAAAGCATTACAGGAAATAAATAATATAGATAATACCATTCTCCGTATCTTGCATTTCAAAAAAAAGAATTGGATATAGGAATAAGTCAGATATGTGGTCCTTGAAAGAATGAACTACAAAACTCTTATGATGAATGATTTTTTTTTTCCGAAATATGTCGGTGCTAAGTAAATTATGCGGGATTATTAAAGATATACTGCTTGATAGTCGATCAGCAATTATTAACAAGTTCAATAACTCTTTATTTAAGATATTTGAAAACAATTTGGTTTTAAAGATTATCAAATGTCACTCCGTAGAGCACAATAATTTTCCTCTGACTTGTTGCTGCTGCGTTGATGTAATTTATTGTCAAATTTAAATAATGTTTAGGAGTACTAAAGGTAACTGTCAACTTTTCTTATATGTCAATTTGTAAATGATGAGAGAACATAGTTATCTAACAAATCAATTTTAATATTAGACTATATTTAGCGAATAGATTATAGTGAGTGATGACAAAGTTTTATGCGTACATTTTCGTAAAAATGTCTCGTTCAGTCAAAACCATAAGACAATTGTCTGGCTTAGGATCGATTTTCCCTTATGGCAATGAACTAAATGAGAATTTAGTTGAATAAATATAACGGTTGTTTTGAAACACATAGTGTAATATTTACCCATTACCTTCGTTAGTTACTCAGTAGCTTCCACAATTCATTTTTTGAGAAGTTTTGGTATTTATGGAGATATTCTTATAAAACTTTGTTGGAGACACATATATATATATATTATCGTCAAACAGAAGATGGTAGTTCAATAAACTTTTCTTTCAATATTCGCTACTTATAATAAAAGTTGTATAATTCACTAAAGTCGATATCGAAGAGCTCGTCCATTAAACCCAAAATGTTCCAGTCTATCTTATTGCCTTCCTACTCTGACTCGACCAATTTCAACAGTTGTTACATTGAACGCTCTTCTGGTGCAGGTTTCTTCTCTAAAAGAAAATCTACACTCCAAGGATATAACACCAGGATAATATGTAGAAGCAATTAAGCAATGTATTTTTTGAAAAACAAGGATTATGAAACCATTGAACTCTCTGGATCTCAAGTTAAACATTAGAGTGAGTATTAATTATCAGTTCCTGAATGAGGTTCATTTATCGATGAAACGATTTTATACTTAAGTGCTTAATAAATCACTAGTTTTTTTTAAATGCCGTTCTTATATACAGGTATCTTCTTCAAGAAAACAACTAATTATATTATCTTGGGACATATTTCTTCAATTTGCTTTTGCATAATCCTCTCGAAATATAAATAAGAAAGAAGTTCTGATATAGTTTCTAATTTAAATACTTCAACATTCCTTTTAAATCGTGTTTCATAAAATTTCCATAACTCACCAGATGCTATGTATGAAGCTGTTGGTGTATAATCACCAAATATGTCTAACCCATGATCATCGTCTTCATCGTCGTATTCCACCTGTACTTTCGATGGTCGTTCTTCGTGTGCAGGCATTTTTTCTTAAAGAAAAATACAGAATATTGAAAACAGAAGTGAAATTAAATAATATATAGATTTTTGTGAAAAATAAAGTGTGACAAGAATATTTGTTTCCTTACAGAAGGATTCAAATTTCTTATTTCCAAATTAAACACCAAAGCATAGCTTCAAGTTCCTGAGGGAAATCAACATATTTAGGTTCAATCATTGACATTATATATTCTATAATTAAGTACTCTCTAGATTGACTTTTTGAGATAACGTTTTTATAGTTGAATATGAACTTGAACGAAAAAGCTATTGTCGCAATAATCAAAAGAAGATTATTTAATTCAATATATATCCTGAGATACATGTCTTCCCTCTTCTTTTACTAAATGATCGTGAGACGCATTAGGAAAGGAGTGAGTTCAATTGCCCACTATATATACTTCAACGTTCCTTTTAAATCGTATTTCATAACAGTTGCATAACTTACGAGGTGTCGAGTGGGAAGCTGTTGGCATACCATCATCAAGATCGTCGAAATCCATCATACCATAGTGTTCATCGTCGGAATCTGATAGCGCTGCTAACGAATACATTTCCGGTGCACGCATTTTCTCTTAAAAGAAAAAATACAGAATATTTAAACCAGGAGTAAAATTAAATAATCTATAGACTTTTGAAAAACGAAATGTGTCAAACGTATGTTGCGTCTCTACTACGAGATCAAACTCTTATTCTCAAATTAAGCATCACCGTATGAATATAAGTTTCTGAATGAAATCAGAATATTGAGGCTCAGTCATTTCTTTTTTCGAGATACTATTCTTGATGATGCAAAAAACTAATGTTTTAGAAAAATAGCATAAGATATTTGCACAATTTCTAAACAGTTAAATAGAACTGATGGATCTAAATGAATACTGAGTGCTATATAATCTAAGACCTTTTTAACGGTGGCTGAAAACTTTACTTTTCTAATTTATATTTTTTCTTAAGATTTGAGACAATAGTTTCAGAGTCAGCATCGTAAATCAAAGTAAAAAATTATAACTTTGTCGAAAACGATACTCAGAGAATATTTTAAGATTTTAAGTCGAAATGAAAGTTCCTTTCTCGACATAGAGAATTTGACTTTCGTAGGGAATCGCTAGCTTTTTGGTAATTCCATATGTCAAACTAAAAACGTTCATTTCGACTGAAACTTTTAGGATATTCAAAGGAACATCAAGTGTATCTACGAACAAAACTTAAAATTAAAATTTTTCAGTTTGATATCTCGATGAATATCCCAAAATCAATAGTGAAATTCAGACAAAATGATCATAACCTTGATATTTTTGTATTCCATTTGAACTATGACCTTGGTATATTACTTCAAATTTTGGCCGTTATTTCAATCAAGATTTGCTTATTTACCAATATATTTTCTATGATTCATCAATAACGTTTTTCTTCGAAATTGTATCTCGAATATTATATTTATTTTATATGAAAACAAATTCGTGATATGTTTAAAGATGTCACGAAATCGATTTCTCTTTTCTAGAGCGAAAATCATTTGTTTTCTATAAAAAAGAGACGGTTGTATAGTATCTTCTTTCCAAATACGGATATTGAGTATTTGTAGAAATATCACGTCAACCGGGTTAATTGTTTCGAAAACCTTTTCACTTAGGAAAAAGGAGCCTTAAAGAAACCAGATTTTCGCCATCGGCATGGTTATGAATGATGATTTTCGTTTTTCAGTATATGCTCAAGTCCTCAAATTTTGTTACACGTAGCAATTCATATGTTACCTCCATTTTTTATCCCTTTTACAAGTACTAGTGATGACGTTGATGATGACGACGGTGTAGAAGGTACATCAGCGGTATTCGATACTTCACTCAACTGAAAAATAAATATTTGATTTTATTGTCAATGCTACATAAAGCAGTGGCTTGACGTACGTCATCCATTAATTGTTTCACGCATTCTAGTTCGTGGGCTTTTGTTAATCCTTTAAAGTGATGTTTGAACCAAACATGTTCTATAAAAATTAAATATCAACATTCGTTTGGAAAAGATGATCGCATCTTTTCTTGCCAGTTCAATTAATGGATGTATCGGATTCGAGGAAGTTAATTAGGGTCATAAATCTTTTTCGAAAAAGTTATAATGCTATGAATATTCAAACCACTGTTTTTAAAAAATAAAACGATTATTCTATAGTAGACTAATGATGAAATATGTTTCTAATTCACATTATCTGTTTCCACTAAATGAATTAAATGTATTCTCATATACAATTTAACTTGAAGATAGGTTTCCACTCAAAGATCAACACACCCGTTTGCAAATATATTATGGATTTTTTTAATGATTTCCTATGTCCACAATGATTTAAATAACACTAACAGTTCTGCTTTATGTATACGTCGAATCCAAAAGTTGAAATTTCATGATAGAAATCGAACTTTATCTCTCTTAATTGACTTGCATCATTCGATTATCGGTAATGGTTGATATCTCTTTTATTCAGTCCAAAAACGAACCTCTATTTATTCTTCATTTTAACATGAAAGTCAAATCGCTCATTGGATAATAAAATGTTCCTACTAAACAATAATTTATTCTATCATATCGCAGTACTTTTTAAACCTTACTACATCGTAATGAAAACTTCGATAAGTATTGGAATGGTCCTACTGAGAATAAGCAGTTGTCAAATACAGATAGTAGGGTTTAACTTCAAGTCAAAAAATTATATTAGACAAAAGAAGCAAAGCTTAAAATTTGTTCATTGCCTTGATAGTGGACAAAGTGTCTTCACTTACCACTTGACTTACCACCGAAGTCGCCTAATGATTCCCTGTAAACAAAAAATCAACATGAAATTTTTATTCTCAATATTTCCTCCATTTTCATTTGCATACTCTTCGTCACTTGTGATTATCAAATTGTTAGCTTGGCATCGTTGTTGTAATGCTTGTCGTTCTTCTGTCGTTGCACTAATCATTTCAGTCTTAAGATCTATTTATTTCTCAAAAATCGACATCTATGAACGTTTATTTATAATTGAATAACATACCCTTTCGCATTTTATCTTCTATTTCATTGGCTTTTTCATGCTCATTCAATACATGACGATATGTGCGTATGATACTCATCATCATATCAAATTTTGCATCACCACCTGCTCGATAGGAAATTTTTCCACAAAGGTTTTCAATATCAACTACGGATTCTTTTTTGCTTTGAATCGATGCACTTTCGAGTGTAATACGTGCATCCATTAATTTCTGTTTGATTGTATCCAAAGTTGATATATCACCATCCCATCCAATGTATGGCAATAAGTCAATATCTCGATCGAGTATAACATCAAGAAGACGAACACCTATAATAGAAAGTACATTGTCGACTATTTTTTAATAGTAATAGGCATTAGTAAAAAAGAATCAAATTTTTTCTTCGAAAGTTTTTGAAGAGTTAAAACTTTACGAAACGAACTATTAATAGAATAAAACAATAATGCTTATGATTATCAATAGCAATTAATTACATTCTATTTAACTTTCTACTAACCTGGTTGAAGAGTTTTTGCATCTGTTTTAGTATCACGTTCTTCGATAGCAACGAAACTAGTGTATGCACTAACAACTGAATGTTTGATGCTTAGATCAATGAGATCTTGTTTATATTGAACTTTCATCAGTTCGTTTTTGCTCTCGTCTACATGCAATAATCCATTGTCATAATCATCAATAATCGCTCGAGCGGTTAAACAGTGTAGGATACGTCCTTTGGTCGTTGTCGTTGTACTACTAAATACAGTTGTAACATATTCTTGTCCATCGATAGTAGCTGTTAATGTGGCCTTATGACAATTTTGTATAAATCGATAGACACTAAGTCGCATTCCATTAAACAATGATCGAATTATTTTTGGTGCTTGCATATTAAATTTTTGTTGTTCATCTAAACGGCCATGCCAATCAATTGATATACTTGTAACACATGGTTGTCGAACTTGTTCGAGAATATTTAATACTTTTGTTTTCCATTTCGATCGATAGTTCGAATCGAATACGGTTGTTAGACCACCTCCACTTGCTCCATTCGCTAATTGTTTCAAACTATGTTTGTTAGCAACATTACCAATTGAACATGCAAATATACGATCTCGACGCATAGTTGATTGATGTTCAAGTAAAACAAGAATCGATTGAAGATCATGAATATGTCCATCAGAGAGAATAATAAATTGTCGACCAAAGTTTGATGATGGTAACAATGAATAACGGTGAAGAACAGCAAATAGATTCGTGTTACCACGATGAACAAGTGAATGCTACAATATGTAAACACATAAATTTTCGAAAGACAAAATTGTATTTAAAATAAACAACCAACCAAAACAAAGTGTTTAGCTTTATCAAGATTTTCTTTTGTAGTTGATGTTGAAATAGGAAAACATTCATCATTATCTAAATAGTTCAAATGTAAACAATAAAATAGTACTGCAGATGATCATCTAATTACCTGATCCAAAAGTAACTACATTAAAATATGTATTTATGTCGCCTACTTTCAAATTCATAAGAAACAAATGTGCTAACTGTTTAGCTTGTTGTACATGTGTACCGTCCATTGAATTCGACACATCGACAATGAATATAATTTCAATTTGTTCGTACGAATTTGTCAATTTTTCAAATCGTGGATAAAATGTCAGCATACATGCTTGAGAATCAACATTGTTCGATGTTGTCGTTGTTGTTCCATTGTCATCATCCAATGACAATGTTTCGTTTAATATTCGAGGTAAATTAGCACTTTTGAGTGTTATTGAAAGAACGAAATCTTGATCAATTAAAACGTTATCAACAAGTTCGATCATGGCTATACAGTCGGTCAATTTTCGACGAAGACGATGTGTTGGCGAGAATAATTTAATTATTTCATAGGGCATTCGAATCGATGCTTTGAAACTAAATTCGACTTTTTCATCGACAATATCGATGGTTCGTACAATCGATTGATCTTTCCTTTCAATCGCTTGTTTTGATTGCCATGAAGCCATTTTGGCTGGAAGACGAAAAATGATATCACCATTTTCGATTTCTAATTCAGCAACATAAGTTATCTTGATAATCACTTCATTGTTCGCTGGTAAGTTGCCAACAGCTACACTGAATACTTGTGCTTGTTCTTGATGCATTAAATAAGCACCGTGACCCTTTTCAATTGCTTCTCGATATTCTTGTTTAGCTTGTTCTTTCTCTTTGACGACGCCCTTTATAACTTTATTGTTAATATGTGCTTCAAAGCCGCATACAGCAGAATTATCATCGAGAGGAAATACATATTTGGCTTCGATCGGTATCGAACTTGTATTATGATAGACTTGATAAAGAACAACCTTTTCGTTGAAAAGACAATAGAATGAACTACGTAGTATTATATCAACAGAAAAATAAGTATAATTACTTCAACTGTAGTATCAACAATTTGAGCACGAATATGAAATGATTTAAGTGGTACGAGTTTTCCTGACGATGGACATATTAAACCATAGTCTTGTTCAGCTACTTCAATAACTTCATCGTCGATTGCCAACGGCACTTCGACTAGAACGTAACAAATAAATTGGTCGAATTTTGTATTCTAACAAAAAATAAAAATAAAAATAATCATTACCATGTTCACTCAATTTTAATTTATGTTGTTGAGTATGAACAATCGGTAATCGTTCTAATTCAATATTGAGAGCATCATTTGGTACCCATGAAACTTCCACAATGTAAAGTAGACGTTGTTGATCGAGTTGATAGATCGCATATTCGTTATCCTATTTCGACAAAGATTAAATTTTTGTGTTGCATGATTAAAGATGCTGCGAAGTAGTGTTGTTCTCAATGTTAAGTTTTAATTTGGTCTGTAATAGGTTTTAATTAGAGTTTCAAATTCGTAATAGTCATGAAAGAAAACTGAAAGAGACCTAATTGAGACACATAATCGAAGATTCTCGGTCTCACATTATGTATAAGTCTGATAATTTCGGATTTTTTTTTCTTCAACTTAATGTTTGTGACTTGAGAAAGAACTGCACTTTTTTTTTACATGAAGATACATTGCTCAGCTTTGGTTCTATTCCTGACTTGAACAGGGTGCTTTGACCACTTTTATTTTCTTAAATACAAGAAAACAGTTGAAATTCTTGTCTCCTAGAATGACGTGTTACACATATTAGAAAACTTAGAGTTTTCTGTTTTATCTCTGAGAAAAATATTTTTTCGATACGACCAGCGATAGTCATCACTATCACGTTGTCATTTGTTTGATTAAGTGTACTTCTACATTAACTACGTCAAGAAAATGTCAAATATGCGAAGGATGCTATGCAAACTCTAGTAAAAGATTACGACATGAAGGTAATTTGGTAGAGTTGAAACAATAACTATTTTCTTCACAGCTCGTTTAGCTACCTTGAACACTGCAAAACACTTGATAAATACTTTAGAATTTGCTATCATCGTGTAACAGAGATAGAGAATACAATGATCTTTTTTTTTCTATTCAACACAAAAATTTTACAAATTAAATAGCATTACTTTGTTTCCTTCTCTCGAGAAAAGCAATTTCTCAATTCCTTTTTTCTTTCGTTCATTTTATGATTAAAAACAAAGAATATGCCCCTAATTTCTATTCGTTTTTAATGCTTCATCAATATTTTGTTATTGACACGAAACGATTAGATGATAGTTTTATTTTTATTTGTTTGATTTCGATAGCGAAAATTCTGTGAAAGGGAAGGAAACGATCGAACCATATATAAATTTTTGTTTGATTAAGCTTCTCCACTTTATCTGATAGAACTTCGAAACGGACAAAACATTCAGACTGTCTTTTGTATCTGCAAAATATCTAGAATGCAGATTCACTTCAAGATCCAAATGTTTTCTTCTTGATCCCATCCGAGCCGAACACTATCATGCACAGTGTCCTTTGTTGTTGCCGCACATTTTCCTATTACTCAGCGATCTAGTTGTGATCCGGTTGATAGAACACAAACTACTTACAGTAAACATTGAATGATTTTCTTCCGTTCGTTTAACTCCATGTGTACTATGAAAACCATCGGGAGGTTTAGTAAGAGTCGGCGAAAATGAATAATAGTTAGCTGATTCGCCTAGTGCTACTTGACAGATGCACAATAATCTTCGTCCTGGTCGTGTTGTACTTGCTGTTGTATATTTCAGAGATGTAGAAGCAGAATCAGAAAAATAAATTCCATAACCGAGACAGCCAATATCAGTACGTACGACACCTAATTCTTCAACGACCATTTTTGGCATGGTTAAACCACTGAAGATATATATGGTCGTACTATAAATGCTGTCTAGATAATGAAAAAAAATTTACCGTGACAGAATTCCAAGAAAATTGGCATATTTCGATCCATGAAATAGTTGCCGTTGATGAGATAGTGATGTACAATAATTGAGTGCATCTGTTTGTTTGGCTACACTAAAGACGTGGTGTATAAGAATTTTTTCATTACTAATAAGTAAAAAGGAAATTATCATTATGAAATCGAACTTCAATTTTTCTCACTCGTCCGTTGACGATTGAATGAGATCAGCAACATTCTTAAATTCAGGTGTTGAATTATCTACTGTTTCAATATGACATTTTAACGCTCGATATTTAGCTTCGATCGGTGCTTTAACATTCCAATTAGTTAGTTCGTTGACTGTTAGCATATCTCGAAGCATCTGAATGATAAAGAAGATTAAATGAAATATTCGAATGAAATAGACATACTTGGCATAAATCTATTTTTTCGGTCAATGTTCGACGATTCTTTATGAGATCAACATTATACTCTGGTCGATGAGGAATAAGTGAATAGAAACGAAGTGCTGCAGCCGGATCATTGGTCAATTTAATTTCGAATAAGGCAGCTTCAGCTTCGATGATCTATTTAATAATATGAAACAATATCTATAATTTTAATGTATCAAAATGAATATGTATACCGTTTTAAGATTGATTGATTCAGGTTGTACGCTCAAAATTTTACTTAGATCACCTATTGATTCTAGCCAAATCGACTCGATCAATTGACATACATTCTCATTGAGTATTTGTGTATCGATACGATGAGTAAATAAAGCCTACAAATGCATCTTCGTTTTTTGGAAAATATTTTCTTTTTTTTAGTATTATTGACTTACACGTAATAATAGTTTAGATCCTACTTTATCCGGTAGCATCTCACGAATTCGTGTTACACGTGGCATTGCAGCTACACGATAGTAGTATGATGCAAATAGTTGTAGCTGTTCGTTTGGATCATTGCCAAACGCATATTGTATCAAGACCTTTTTATGTTGTGTTTGACTTTCGCTAACAATACTCTGTTTTTCGTATCGAAATCTTAGTCGATAATCGCTTGTTGTTTGATCATAGTATGTTTCAGGAATAACTTGGAGTTCAAGAACAAAAAATACATCTGAATTATCATTAGTTTCCTGTTACAAACAGTGGAGTTATAAAATAGAGCATGGTTGTAGTATATGAATAAAACTGTACTTTAAAAATTGCCCATTTGCCAATTTCACAATGTGTAAACTCATCGAAACGAGGCAAATCAACATCGTCTGAATTCCATATCTTGATTTTAGCTAAATCGACTTTATTAATTTTGGTCGTATTTACTCGGGATGCTAACAAATAGGTACGTCTGATATGTTTTTTCAAATAAAAAAAAGAAATCTTCTAATACCTGTGACGGAAATAGTACCAGTCTTTGTAAAAATGTCCTGATCTTCAACTGATTTTATGATAAATTTGTTAATATCGATCGATGTTTGACCAGGTGGCAAACGGCGACACTCGTACACATATTCTACATTGACCAGTGGCAAACCGAGCTGTTTGGCACGACGTGTTTTGTAGCTGTCTACATTATTCGTAACCAAAACATAGTCAGTCTACAAAAAAAAACAGCAGTCAACTTCAACAGCATACTTGTAAAATAGAAGTAGAACGTACACTAGCTGTAAGAATATATGAAATATGTGCTTTCTGTTCTCGTAAATAGTTGATCAGTTCTTGTTTAGCTTTGAAACCTATTTCATGACCAATTTCGAGGACAATTGATTTACCATTAAATGGTGACAGAGATGGAGTAGATATAGTCGTTTGTTTCATCTGAAAGTCATCAATAATCTTCTAACTAATCTACGAATAGATTCATTTTTTTAGCGTTTTTTGTGATGGCTAATATTCAATTACCTACTGTGTGGTAGAAAGAAACAGAAAAAAAAATGAGTAAACCAATGCTGTTGACATTTTGTCTTTACAATTCTGCACATGTCATGTATTTTATGTTATTGCACAATTCGATGAAACAGGTATACGGTGAAAATGTCGGCAAATCACCAAGCACTACACTAATGCACTTCACTATGGATGTTGTCGCCAATTGCAGGGTATCTGTCGACTAAATATTTAAACTAGACGACTGACACAATTGTTAATACAAAGAAGTCAACATTCTCATGCAGAGCTCTTGTATTCAACCTGTAAAGAGGTTTGCAGCTACCGCTACTTAAAACATCTATCTGTTTGATTATGGTCAGAAATATATTGATTATTAAGCACGCATTTGTTACACAAAGTCTCTCTTTAATAAAAATAAATCAAGGAAAGTAATAAATCCTAAGAGTTTATCAATATTGATGAAATTGGCGAAAGACAACACCGTATCTGATGATTAGGTCTTTCTTTTGGCAGGACGAAAATGTTGGCACATAGAATATGAACAAGCTATTAACAAAGCGCTCCGCAATGCACGGACATTAGTTTTGTAAAAAACAATTCTAGAATGTCGAGATTAGTTTATAATACCATGCCGTCGAAGACGAATTAGTGTTCGCCATATCATAAGAGAAAAAAAATCTCTTCGAGCAATTCAGAATGTGAGAAAGTGTGAGTCTGATTGAGACCAATATTCTTATCACACACACACACTGGCAATCCGTTTTTATTAGTTACTCTCATAAGTAACCACAACAATAAAAAAAACAAACATATCCAAAAATTTGTTGACATATCTCCTTTTATATAGCTTAGTTTCCTGGTTATTCTTGTAATTGATTACTCATGGAAGTAACCTATCACAAATTAACTCTAGTCCACCGGATTCTTGAAAGATTTCGTGTTTACGAACAGCTGAAAAAATTCTGCAGAGTTTTGGATAATCTAGATAGGCTAAGCAAAAACTTAAACATCGTAAATAAATTATTTAACCAAAGAAAAAAAATTAAGAACATGGTGAACTTGAATCATATAAAAAAAACCAAAAATCTCTCGTTTATCTTTGGCAAAAAATACAAATTTTCTCTTTTGATTAGATTAAATAACAGTAGTTTTAAGCGCTCTCACTAAACGTTTAACCTATAGAAATATTTGGAATCATTCACTATCGTGAGGCAAAAAGAGGGTGTGGGTGGGTGTGAGTGTGTGGAGTGTGGCTGTGGGTGTGGATGGGTGCGGATGTGGATGTGGGTGGGTATGGATGTAGATATATCTTCCGGGTATACGCACACCCATCCCACAACCAGCCACACACACACCCATACACGCACACACCCACTACCCACCATAAATACAAACCTTCCGCTTTATGCATGTTACATCAAGCATTTCTATTTTCCATTACAATGCTTTTTGTCACCACACCTGGCTTTCAAATAGCATACGAAGCCACAATGGGTTCATGAAGATAAAACAAAAAAAGAAATACAATATGTAGAATGTATATCAGCCAAAATTTCAGATGCATGATTCATGTGAACACATTTATATTCACTACATACTTAGTAGAGTGAAATTTCATGTTATTCGAGATTTTGTTCTTCTAAATATTGCCTCGCTTGCTGTATTCAATCAAGGTTGATTGAGGTTTTTCGGTTTTTAAGAGCCTCCAACAAGAAGGTTATGGTCTCGAATAATTTTACTTATCATCTTTCTGCTATTGTCGTGCTCGATTATCGTAGTCAATGTTTTCCCATTTAAGTAGTTATCACAAATATAAAATTATTTATGATATCTTCAAATGGATTCTCCTTTTCATGACAATTTTATTAATGAGTATTAATCTGTACCTAGGTTCTCGGAATGAACCAATGCAGGCAAATCCGCATATTCTGCATAATTGTGCAATGAAAGATGTCGAGTTCTAATCATGCGCTTATATTCATGAATAATGTTTTACTTTTTCTATTCATAATGTGAAATAGACTGATTCTTCATCAAAATAAACTTTAAAAAGGTAGTCTATCATATTCACATTCGATTGATGTTACCAGTCAAATTTGGTCTACTTTGAAAAGCTATCGAAGATGGGTGTGGATGTGAATTTGAATGTGCATGTGAATGCAGCTGAAACGAACACCCACACTCCTAACCACGGTTATTTTTTCGAAGATTTGATGAAATAAAAATTTGATTAACTCTATATTTCTTTTTTTGTTCTGGGGTCACAAAATTTCTTATATCCCAATATGGGTAGATAGTTAGGCATTACAACCAGAGCATATCATAACGAAACAAATATTATCAAAAGTTTATTATTAGGTTATTAGTTGAAGTAAGATCAAATAACATAGAAAAATAAAGCATTCTTTTTCTATCAGACTATATAGAGAGAAATTTTCTTAAAACTTTTTATATGAAATTACCGATTTTCCACCATTACTTTTGGATTGCTCTTATCATCAGATCAGAGATCTTCATCAGATGTTCCTATAAAACAAGCTGACTCTTCATCATTATTGGTGCTAATTGAGATTTATATTTGTCCAAAACTGTTTTCTGTTTACTAACGATCGAACTTGCTTGAAAAAGTGCGAAAAAAAAAGATTGTTCCAAAAACAGTGGTACATTTTCCATGAATTCACGCTTTTTCATTGAATGAAGTACAGAGTATCCACCAGGAAATTTCTTATCAATGAAAAATTCAATGTTGGAACACGTGAAATATCCTTTTTGTTAAACTTTTCTAATACTGACATTTTTATCTGGAAAGATAATTTTCGTCAATCTAAAAAAGATCAAACCTAAATTTTTCACATTTTCTTTTAATAGATATATTCAACAGCTACAAATACAAGTAAAATGATTACGAATCGGAAAAAACTATCGTGACCAAAGAATTGCCAATCGAATGCTTGTATTATACTACTTTTAACTAACATATGTATCATACTCATTTCTGATGACAAGACTTAAGCTACTGTTGAATCTAATATCAGATCTTATTTTACATGATTGATCATATTTTTATATGTCCATAAGGTTACGTAGAAGAATAGTGTTTCGACCGTGTACCAGTCTAGAGATGTTATCCAATACAGACAGATTCGGACACAAGCCATGCATGAATAGAATGGAAAGTTTTTCTAAGACTAAATCATCAATATTTTAGGTATATAGATCTTATTGTATGATTGAGCAGAAAATCGAAAAAAAATACATTACTGATCGCATTTGTTGATAATCAATCTTGAAGTTTTGATATCAGTGTTAATATTAAGAATGATGACGCATGCAAAGGCTTTATCAATTGTTTTCAATATTAGTCGACGAATTCTACACTAGACAATCAGTGATTAACCCAAAAATCCAAATATCAGCACATTTTTCGATAAGGTTTTATGAAGAAACAATAGACAATAATTAGGTAATTTTGGGCTGACATTTGTTTTTCTTGAATTTACAATTATCCTTAATCATTTGAAATTTTGAATGAGCAACATACGATAATAGAATCATGTTATATTGTTTACTAAGAGATGACACATTATTAAATTTGAGTTCTTATGTCAAAAAACGAAACTTTGTTACAGTTTCGGTAGAAATAAATAATACAAACAACCAATTTGAATTAAATTCATTTCTAAATTCTATTATGATGAGGACAATCGTATATTACATCATTTATCAATCAGAAATAAATAGAATCGAATCTGCCTAAGTATAAAGCGAAAATTCAATATATTTGAGTTTTATTTTGACTATTTTATTACAAATAAAACAATACCAGACGTATTATTTCGTCAAATGTCACTACCAATCTATAGGAAGAATATTTCGTATCATCATTAACTGCTTGTTTTCTGTTTCTGCTGAATACAATGACAATAATATTCGATTGAAATACTCATTCACTCTTTTATTTTCCTAAAAGATCTTCTAAAACTGACGAGTTTAGTCGCTGACAGATCAGCCACTATCATCATCTAGTAAATAGAAAAATAAATAAAGTATCATTGCTGTATAGGGCTATATAAGAGAAAGGAAAAAAAGAAAAAGAAAAAGCATGTCACCGAAGTAAACTATAAAGAGCAAAAGCACGTCGCTTTCAGCATGCTAACAAGTATTCTCATTGCTGTATTTATCGCATTAGTTGTTGTGTATTTATGGCATATGCATCGAACTTATAGTTTTTTTATTCGATATGTCATTATGTATAAAAGAATGAACGAAAAAATATGGTCGAATATTTGGCTATTTTGAAGGCCATACACCAATTCTTGTCATCTCCGATCCGAATATTTTACAAGATATATTTATTAAAACATTTCATTTTCAAATTTTCATTCACGTCGTGAAGATGCATTTGACGAACCACATGTGAAAGAAGGTCATCTATTTACTGCACAAGATCTTCGTTGGAAACGGCAACGATTTGTTATTAATCCAACATTTTCATCGACCAAACTCAAAAAAATGTCCCCACTAATTAATCATAGTATTGAGGCATTAATGACAAAATTAACCGAGCAATATCAACTTGGCGAACCCTTTGATATTTATACATTTTTGAAACGTTTTACTATGGATACTATATGGTCATGTGGATTTGGTCTTGATATAGACATGCAAAACAATCCGAATGATTCATATCTTATTCAATCACAACGTGTATTCAGCTCAGAATATTGCTTAAGTAAGATTATGCTTTCGTATGTATTTATGCCTGAATTCAAGTGGTTTTGAAATATGTTACACACGATTGATAATATTGTGCGAAGATGGCTTCGATATAATGTACCTCTAGCACGGAAGCTGATCACTGATGATCCAGTTATATGGATAAAGAAACAGACTCAAGAATTGATCAAGAAAAGAGTTAATTTGGGTTGTACAAGCCGAATGGATCTATTACAGTTGATGCTTGAATCAGCATCGGATGAAGAAGTCATTCAAGTATGATATTTTGCTCCTTTGATTCTATGCTTGAAGTATGTCAAGCATTCTCGCATTGATTCAGACAAGTAAGAAGTTCTATTACGAGAGTAACCTAGAACCATCCGGTTTTCGATGATGACAGAGCAGGATTTTCCTCAAAGGAAAAAAGTGTCAGATTGCTCATTTTAATGTTCATATATTTCTCAATTATTATTCAGACCGAGTTTCTGTTTAGAGTTTTGAAAAGGCTATCTTCTGTAAACAACTTTTTCAAATACTTTCATACTGGAGTCGATGAGCTTTATTGCATGCTAACAAATGAGCAGAGTGAGAACTACTTCTAATCTAATGCAATTTTGGTCAGATCAGATTTCGAAGATTTAGTTTTACAAGTTTCAACGATAGGAAAAAGTGTTGACAGCTAAAGATTATTTTTCGGTCATGAAACTGAATTTACTTTCATATGAAACATGATAAAACTTATTTTTTTAATATTAATACGCTGTCTCATCGCTCATATCCAATACGTTTTGCTTTGTATTGTAAAGACTAGCTATTGATTGTCTACCGTTTCTGTTATTTATATAACGTAAAACAATCGTTTCTGAAATGAGTTGCACTCAAATATCAGTGAATCTGATTGTATCAGATTGTTCTATTATTCACTATTGTAGGATCGTTCATCACTTCTTTAGTAAGTAATTTCTATTCGTCTAGATAACTTTTTATTATCAACATATTTATTTCTATCTAGTGGCTGTCGGCTATGAAACAACAAGTACTGCACTAGCTTATGCTTCTTATGTTCTTGCAACTCATCCAAATGAACAACTCAAATTACAAGAACATATTGATTCTCATTTCCATCCGGATACAGACAATGATATACCCACTTATGAAACAATCTTGAAAATGGAATATTTAGATATGTTCATTCGAGAAGTTCTTCGTATGTATCCAATTGTACCAGTTGTCATCAATCGACAAAGTACAGAAGATTTTCATATTAGTCATGTCGGTACGATTCCTGCTGGAACAATTGTCACTGTTGATATTTATAGTGTACATTTTGATCCTGATCTATGGGGTCCAATTGATCCGAACGTATTTTATCCAGAACGATTTGCTACAAAATGGCATCCACTCGCATGGATTCCATTTGGTATCGGACCACGAAATTGTGTTGGCATGCGCTTTGCATTGATGGAAATGAAATTAGTTCTTATTCTCTTGCTAAAAATTTACTCAATTATTGATTGTGGTGAACAAACACAGAGATCAACTAAAGAACTGGATGAAATGGTTGTTATTTCACCGAAAAAATGTTATAATCCGTCTGCAAATTCGAGACAAACATACAACGTGAAATTGATGTGCATGTACCTTTTTTTTTGTTTGCTTTTATAAAGAAACAATAGTCAAAAAAATTTTATTATGGTATTCGTGAAGTCACAAATTTTAAGACACAGAAATGGCTTGAATGTCGATTTACATATTTGGGTCATAAACCGAATATTGACCCAGATGAATACGAGTAGTGGGCATAGAATCGGAATATATATTGAGAAAATCTGAAATGTCAAGTTATTCGTATAGTTTGTTTATTTTCGTATGCAGCTACTGCCTTTTATTTACTTGAAGGTGTGGGTATGAATGAAAAGATCAATTACAACCAGATCCACACCCACACCCTAAATACCCGCATTTTACATTACATATTTTAATGTCTCAATACGTTTTATTAAAAAATAGAATGTACTACAAGATGTAACGTGAAAAGCTCTACAATCTGCAAAGAAAAAATCGTTTTAATTCTTTGTATTTCGTCTTCAAGATAAGCGGATTTCTATGCGACTAATTTTCGATACTGCGAACGATATCATTTATGGGTACACGATTAGGTCAGGAGCTTTTACTCTGCCAATTAATGAATCATAACTTCCAACTTTATGCTATCGTATATTAATGGTACTACCATTCCACACGTGATAATCCAGAACATTGAGATCAGAATTCGAATATTTGGAGATCGAAGAAGCAAAAATATGTAACCAAATTTCAACCTATTCAAAAAAAATGGAAACAATCAATAAAATACTACCAAAACCGTACGTCAAATCATTTTTCCATAGCAGGAAAATCAGTATCAATATCAGTATCACGAATATTGTTTTTTTTTTGCATGTATCTTTCCACATCTCGTCTGACTTTTCCCTCTATTGTCACATCAGGAAACTGTGAGACGGAAGTTTCGAATCGGAATAAGATTGATGCATCGATGTTTATATGTGTCAGAACAGAATTTGTTCTCGGTGATAAATGAAGATCTACTCGATTTTGACGCTAAAATATATGATTTCAATAAAAGTCAACGAGATAATCTTGGTCATTTCTTTCGGATGGGAAGAGTGAAAAAATTGAAGGAGAGGCACAAGTTTCCGCTGCTTAAATAAATTGATTTTGTTGACTGAACGCCTCCATGCACATATATGTGCCTCTTTTTATCTTCTATTCTCTTTGTTTTCTTTTCTCCTTTTATCCTTATTTCGTTTTTTCCTATTCTTCTTCTCTTTCTCTTCGTATTCTTTTTCTTTTTTTTTTCGTACTTTTCGTTGCTTTTCCTCTCCATGTTGCTCAAAATGTTGCATTGTAACCGAATGTCATATCGATGAGATTATGCTCATATTGTCTAGATTATTTTTGTTACGCTCTAAATTATCATTACATATTCTTATGGAAGCGCTTCCGAGTATAACAATAAACGAGAAAATCTATCTTTAGATGCATCTGATCACGCCATAATTCTTTTTTCATTCTTAACCTTTTGGTTAATAACCTTCTGTTCGTCTACTTCTTATCAATTTGCAGTATAAATATATTCTAATGAGAAATATGTTTCATCAAGGAATAAAATTATTTTGGGGTGGATGTCGAGATGTGGAGTGTAGATGAAGCGAAGAACACATTCACACTCAAAGTCAACGACATAAGTTGTTTTTAACTATTCTTGGATGCTGATTTTTAGAGATCGTATTCGTCGAGATACAGTTCTTCTTGAACAAAACATTTGTCGAACCGCTGAGAACGTTCTAGTATATCATGTCACTGTGTGTTGAACTCGGTAGATTGTTTAATGAAAACAGGTGTCAAAACTAAATTTTTTCAATGTGACTAATTGACTGAGACAAAATGTCCTGTGACTAATTAATGTAGCAGCTGTGTTTTGTCTATCGCTGACTTTGTATATATATATATATGAGTATGCTGTATTGTCGTTCTCTTCATTTATCACATGCGATCATAAGATATGAGTAATCTATGTTCACCTACACTGTTCGAACATTTGTCCGTTGAACTCATTCTTTTAATTTTCGAATATCTTACTCCACTCGATCTACTCAATGCATTTGAAGAACTTAACAGTCGATTTTCATCCATCATCATGCAACACCCTCTTTCGTTGCCCAATAATCGACGCATGAGTATAGATGTCTACGATGGTTATTACATGGCATATGTTCTACATCAATATTCATCACAAATTGTCTATCTTCATTTGTCCGAACACCGTGCTCCTCATGCAGTTGACTCGTTTCTTTTCGAACTATATGATCAAAAATTCGTCTTGTCAAATTTGAAAGCAATAACTATCAGAGATGTCCCTGTGCGTATCTATAATTCATTGATAGACAACTTTCTACAATCACTTACTCTCAAATCACTTTCGATCGATTTGAATAGTGATCTGTATCACTATCGGAATTACGATACATGGACCGACATGGATTTTATTATACCAATACTCAATTCTCTCTCACAATTGTGTTCATTCTATTTACGAATTTCACCGCAGTATGACAAGAGCTATATGAATGATCTTAAGGATATATCTTCTCGTATCAAGACTCATTGGTATCTACATACACTTTTGATTGATCAATGTTCGTGCGTATTGTTGGTGGAATTACTCGGCAATAATCGTTTACCAAAATTACGCAATTTGAATATTAAATTTCCTTAGTAAGTACACATTGAATCATGTCTATAGTTGAAAATCATTTTTTCAAGTTAGAGAAAATAATATAACAAGTTGAGCAAAGATTTTCAATTTTTCTTTATAGTATTAAGTAGAAATCGTAATTTGAGATATTCTACTAAATCGTTTACAAAATCATATATGTTTTAGTCATCATGACCGTGAACATCTTTTGATAATTCCATCTCATCAGACACCATTGAATCGAATTTGCGTACCTGAATTACGTCGTATCAAAGTTGAAATTTCTGCATACATTGAAGGAATATTATGTTATTTCGAAGATCTCTATCGTTGCGAACAACTTGAACAATTTACATTACGTGGTCGTGTAAATTTTAGCAAGAATGCTGATCTTCCCACTGCATATAACTTACAACGATGGTTAGTTATGCCGAAATCGAAACGATGCAATGTTCGATTAGATTTGTCAGTGGTCTGTGGCAATGACGAGGATAAAGAACACTTGAATGGCTTGTTTACTGATTATACCAAAACATTCGGTTCTCACTCATGTGATCAAAAACATAACATAGCTATACGTTATCCGATTAACGTTGAATCAATGCGAAATGACAGTAAGGATGAAAGTGAAAAAGACGACGATGATGATTATTCAATGATTGCTACTAATGAAGAGGTAAGAAATAAAATCGAGCTGTATTCTTGGATCATTCGAAACTAACAAGACGAATACTTAGTTTAAGATGTACAAATTCACTGTTTAGGTCATGCTTTTTTCAGGTCAGAGAATTCCAAAATATCGACAATGTACATTTTGAAGGTTTTTTTTCAATAAGTGTTCGAAAACAAACAGAAGGAAAAAATAGAGTTTTCAACATTCAAACATTTTATTTTTTTCGAAAGATGACCATTTTCATGGGATCAAAAGATATTAAGGAAGTCTATGTCTTAGACATTTTGCAGCTAGTCTAATCATTGAATACGATGATTTCTATTCAATGTATTTGGTTCTAGTTAGACATCGAAGACTCGAATCATTTGGAAGATAAATGGATACAAGCAGTGCATAATGTGTCTCGCTGGAACAATCTTCGAAGAATATGTATCTTGGGTGATTGCACAACAGATCCGTAAGTGAAATGTTTTGTTTGATTTTTTTTCTCAAATTTTCTTCGATATATGATCTGATCGTCTAACAAAATAAGCAACTAAGTTTAAAATAAATTAATAAATAGTCTAATCGACAGACATATTGAAGCCAAATTGATGTTTTCATGATTCGACTTAAGAAATTTGCTGAAAAGATTTCTGCTTGTTAAAATCAATAAAAATCTTTTTCAGCATCTTCAATAGGTCAAGAACAAAAATCTTTTAAATGAAAAATTGTTTTTTGAAAAGATACATTTCTTTCAAAGGTAGACTTTCAGAGAAGAATGAATTCTAATACCTATTCACATTACGTTCACAGTAGAATATTTTTCATAATAGTATGTCTGAAAATGTCTTCTATCATGGAACGATTTTTTTCGAATTAAAGAAATCAATATGATAGAGATTTTAATTTTTCTCATCCTGTTCAGGTTTTAAAATGACTCTGGTTAACGAATAGTTTGATGTGAATGTTAGTCTTCTTTTTCTCAACACGCATACTCTTAAGATTGAATTCGTTTTTTTCTCTTTCATGATAGAAATCAAATCTGTCTTAATCTGCCAATTCTACTCTATGTTGCTCAACGAGCACCACGTTTTTGCGAACTGGAAGTTCAGGCGACACTTGCATTTGGTCTTGCTCTTTCATTCAATATCGAACTTTGTACATATCTTGCCGATCATCTTGAAGTACTTCGTTTCTGTAGTGAAGATAGAACAAGTTCCTTTCTTGAATTGGTTCAAGTTGTCGATACTATTTACTCTTATTCGTCATCATCATCACTAAAAAAGTTAACAATCTTCGTCGATGCTGATCCAGCGTCATGGCTCACACTGGACCATTTTCAAAGTGGACTTCGACTTGTATTCAATCGTTTTCCAAAACTCATTCATTTCACATTGTTTTGTTGTCGGATAGAACTATTCAAAAATACCATTTACGATTTGACTGCATTGGCATCTGAATGGTATAAAGGAATGGACTGTCCTCGATCATGGAGTTGGAGATCCAAACCACATATATTCGATATTTGGTTTTAGATAATATTTTTTGTTTATCAAATAAAAAAAAAGATATCTAATCATCCTGAGAATGACGATGTTTTCTTTATTGATCCAAAGCAAGACTGCTCCTTTTCATCATGATAATTTTACTTTTTCGAAAAGAGAATACTTGAAGTGTGTAATGTGATAGTGCATGAAACTCCTAATAAATTTCTGTGGATAAATACTTATAGGATTTACAGTTTTCAATCCATTAATCATTCAACCAAGAGTAATCAATACTGAGAAATTCACTCTAGATGCCAAAACGCACATCAACAATCCATCTTAAGAATCCTCTTGTCGTGTAATAAACCTACAACTTAACAGTTATCATCGAACACATTTTTCTACAGTTAATAGGATTATGACTATAAATTCGATCACATACAATAGGATTGCTCGAAGTCGTTTAATGTTAGATCAAAGAATCTCAGTACTGAAAACAACCGAGTTCTACTTATTCATGTTGATTTGTTATGAATATATCTAAATTTGTTGTAAAGATAACCTTAAAATTGATGGAACTTTCTCACAGTAAATAGTGAACATCTCTCTATTCTTAGTAACAGCAATATGTGCAATGAGGACATGAAGAATACAAAGGACAACAAGTTCTTGTAAACGAAATTTTTAGAGAAACTATTCTCTTAGGTATTATCATATTGCTTTAGTGCAAAATCTCTTTCGAGTCCACTACGCTTAGTTGCAAGGAAGACGAGGCTAATTGTCAGCAAGACAATCATCGGCAATCGGTGATACTCAGTAGATGTTGCTTGAAAACTAAGACATATTGATCTGATAACTATTGTAGCGTGTACTACAGAGTTAGTACAGTCTGACGATGTGATAAAGAAAATTACGTACGGGTGATAAAATATCACTGTGATAAAATAGTCACTAAAGTTAGTCTATGTTGTGACGAGTGACGCTTTAAAATTTTTTTCCATTCTACAATCGCCACCGTTTCAGTTAATAGATTTCGTATTTATTCTGTGCAGTAGGTAAAAGCAGTTATTTATCTTAATGTAAATGTGCGACATAGATGCGAGCAAATCCAGTTAGGTAACTTCAAATTGCGCTTGAAGGTGAGGTACGTTCATTTTCTCCATCACGGGTGTAAATCGGTATAGGCGTGAGCGTAGTCGTTTTCTTTTCTCACACATATGCACACACACACACACCCATTCACACCCCAAGCTCATTTAAGCAGCTTTTTCTATAAAAACATTCAGGTACAAAAAACAGAAGTGAGAACACTATTTAGTTTAAACAAATTATGCTTTAATAAAAAATAAAAAGAGAATTAGAATGATCACAATCAACCTTACTAGCTGAATAAATCGATTATATCAGTTAGGTTCAGTAAAAGAATTACAATGATTGAATTCCATTTTTAAAATCTTTTACTTCATGTTAAGTCTTGACTAAAATAATCGTGAGGAGTCTATATTATATCTTTCTGCGAACCTATACCAATAATCTTTTACGAAGTAAGTTAGCTGGATGATTGATAAGAAACCGATCGATTTTTACAACATAAAACAATATCGTTATTTTGCCTACCTTTAAAGTAAATCAACCTTCAATATTTCTTCTTCACTCTCTTTAGGATTCATACGACAAAGCATAATGCATAGACTATTGATGTGTATAAAGAGTACACTTTTAATTACTAAGATATAAGTCAATGAGAGAAAAAGGATGTGAGCGTGCATATCACTAGTACCTTCATCTACACACCCAAAATCCTCGTTCTCATTCATCAATGTATCATTTACACCAAAAGAAACGTTTTCAATAAGCGATATACATGTTATTAAACGTTCGAGAAAGAATGATATATGCATAACCAATAGTCAATGTACGAAAATAAGTCGTATTCGAAATATTCGATTGAATCTTTTGAAATTTTAATGAACCTTTTGCTAATTGATTATCATTTATTAATTTCAAAACATTTTGACAAATAGGGCATGTAGAGATTCAAACATACTGACGTTCATTTCTTTTTTAATGTTTATCTTTAATGAATTATATGTATACTGACATTCACAATAATATATGGGTGTGAATTTCGTTGAATGAACATTGTTTTTCAAATCATGAAAATTTTAACTTTTCTGCAATAAGTATTTAATTGAAAATAAAATAAATATATTTTTCAAAATTCAATGCTTCTTTCGACATGGAAATAAAAACTCTATACATAGATTGTTTTTGATATAATTATAAGGGTGTGGGTATGGTTGTATGTGCTCTCTTTACCCAAACCCACAACCTCAAGACTCACATAATGAATTTCTGAAAGAACAGAAACAGAAGTCGTTTGTTGTGGAACGGTTACGATTCTATCCACACTGGTAAATATGCACCTTTGTGAATTCGAACTATGATTTTTCGCTCGAACAAGTAACATTTCTACGTTTATGTTCGATGAAATTCTGTTTTTATCAATACTATTTTTGACTAATTTGAATATTGTTGTAATGTTTCTAAACATACCTGAAGATGATTCTCGAATGAATCGAAACATGTCGTATAACTTCATTGGAACATTTTGTATTGGGATTTATACATGCCCATACCCACTAGTATGAGTGTGCGAGTGTGTATGAGTCTCTCCTTCCCTGAAACCATTCCCTACCCATATTCACACTCTTCATAGCAGTCATAGTATATATCTAACCTTGAATACTTAAATTTTGATAAGGGTTGTCACATTCTCAACAAAGTCCACAGTCCGAAAATATTTACATTAAACAAGAAAGATAAGATAAATAAAATGTTGCAATCTTTGAAAAGTACTCTATGATTCATTTGATAAAAAAAAATGTAAAAGGCCTCAGCTGTAAAAAAATATATAAGTTAAAGCCATCAACAACACACGATTCAAGTGTCTACGGCTGGCTATTTTAAAATGGGGTGTGGATGGGTGGATGTGGGTGTGAGTATTCCCATCATTCAGATTCATACCCACACACGCATGAGACAGCTACTTTTATATAAAATCGACATGATTAATACGTACTCTATCGATTATAGGAGACTGAACTTTTGGCTTAAACGGCCATGACTATTATGACTTGCTGATATGAAATCTGTGGATTATTCGCTTTGAATAATGAAGTGCTATAACAGTAGTTTTCAGTGCAATTTCTGTTGATACCAGTACGTCTCACTTAGGGGTAGCTGTTGCGCAGTATCTAGAAAAGAGATGACTTCGCATACGCTTTATTACTACTAAACGATGGATATCTGCCAAAAACAGAAGAATAAGTTTTAATGGGTTGAAATTGCAATTTTAAATGGAATGATAATGCTTGAAATGAGTCATACTATCATGGAAAATTCGGCGATATCGTAAGCTATATTGGTGTTATTGGAAACTGAGTGATAAATAAAACTTTGAAAACCTATGAAAATGTTACTCTCTCCAGCCAAATTGAATGATAATGAAATCATAAAGTATTTATTCAATTTTGTTAGATACAAAAATATTTAGAGTATTTTTCTATTATTGACAAAAATACATTTCACTTAATTGAAATCGAGCGACGAACTTGAAGCTCTCTATCGCGAGAATCATTTAACATTGATTGAGTATATTTAAGTATATTTTCCACTATCTTTATAATGATATATATATATATGTGTACTGACAGCAGTAATCGGTTGATTGATCACAATATGCACCATTCACATGTTTTACGAGAAGTCTTTCTACAATATAGTTTTTTTTGTGAATGAAATGTCCTTGCTTCTTTTTAAAACAGACTAGCCTTGTGAGAATAATACTTCTATGATTTAGATGCAACTGATTGGAATGAGCAAAGTACAGGCGTTACTCGACAAAATCACGTATGATTTGTAGAAAAAACCTATTCGTACTTATTCATAGATATAGCATGTGATTCTATGTCCTTTTGCATGATAGTATTGGCTGCATGTGTCGCACAAGAGCGGCGAAACAGCAGAAAACGAAAGAAAGAAAGGTGACATGTGCACATAGGCATTAATATTTACCATCGGGCACTCACGATTGCCGCATTTTTTGTTTAACGCTTTGTTATAATGGTGACTCTTCTGTTGCTTTTTTTCATCATTGTATTGATGGTCTATATTAAATTGAAATATTTTACACTTCGTGGTCCAATACCTGGCTTGTCTCCACATATCTTTTTTGGAAATCTTCTTCAATCGGGTTTACTATTAGGAAAAAGATCAGCATCTGATGTCTATATATCGTTCAAGAAACGGTTCGGTGATATTTATCAATATTGGCTTGGTTTTATGCGTTTCATTGTTGTGCATGATATTGACGATGTTCAGTACGTTCTTACGCATCGAAATATTTACGATCAAGGGCAAGTATTTTTAGAAAAATTTAGCCTTTTGGTTCCTGAGAGTATCATTTGTAACATAGGTATCGCTTATTGGTCTAGTAATAACAAGTATTTATTCATTTTGGTTACTAGGTTTCAAATTCAAACGGCATGGTACTCTTACTATGCCGTTATTTCGTCGTAGCAAAATTATTTCAAATATCAACACAATTGTTGATAGTACTGACAAACTATTAGACAGATGGCGTGCTAGACCACATAATCAGGTGCATACAGATGTTGTTGAACAGTGTCAAAATCTTCTTCTTGAAATATTTGGATTAATTGCTTTTGATTATAATTTGGAAACACTTGATAATAAATATTCCAGCAATAATAATGAACTGACCGAAGCTCTGCTCGATATCATGAGTACATTTAAAATGGCTATATATGCGCCTAGTTTTGTATCAATTATCTATATGAAGTTGAATACTCGATTTCAACGAGCAAGAGCAACAGTCGAACGACATTTTCATAAAATGATCGAACAAGAATTGGCTGAAAGTTCAGAGTCGAGAGCACAACGAAAGAAAACTTCATTAATCGCATCACTTGTGAATTCATTACAAGCCGATGAAAAAGTCGAAGCAAGAAAAAAGGAGGAAGATA